TAGGCGAAATTGAAATGTTTTATGGGACATGTAAGGAGTGAAAGTTGAAATGTTTTAAGGGACGGAGGGAGTAAAATTTACATATTTAAAAACTAAGTCAAAAGTTCCTCAAAACAAGAGCTGACAAGAATATTTTATTTTAGCAAAAAATCAATGAAAATGTATAAATAAACAAAAGTTCTTGTGATTTCTGAATAGTGAACTATGGAACTCTTTTTGGGATGGAGGGAATATAAGCTTTGACGCACCCTAACATTCTTGGTAAGAGTAAAGAGGCACAAATGAGATCTAAGAATGTTTGATCACCAAACTATCTTGCACTATAAACTTTGGGCCGACATATTTTAAAAGAATGTGAGTTCAATCCTAAAACAATTAAAAAGAAATACTGAAATATAAGCTTATAATCTTAGGAACTCATTTATTTTTTTAACTTTTGTCTCAGCAAATACATATTATACACCTTTATTTACGTGTTACTAGTAGTGCACCAACAAAGCAACCATAACCCTGGATGAACTCTACCTTCTCTTGGGGCTCCAAACTTTCGGGGCCCTAAAGCTTCTGGGGTGTCTTTTTTATTCATGATGAAGGCCTTTGGTGTTAACTTGCAATCACACCATTTTGGGCCGGGACTGAGTACACGTCATTCTGCTTCTCTATTGTGATTAGCCTCTAGCAGATGGATACCTTATCGATCGAGTCCAATGTGTCCATCTCTCAACAAATCGAGCAAGTCTGGCAATGGAGTATTTATAGCCATCAAGAAGACTATAGTTTCGATGAAGGAGTCTGCCATTGATTGTTTTTCTTAATCATATGATCAAATCTCTTTTTCTCAGTGCCACATATACTCAAGCTTTTACACTTTAACAATTCTCAAGTCAAGTATGTAAAGAAAATTCCAGAAATGCACACACACACACACAAACAAGCAATTTCTTTTAAACATGTGATGATAAAAAGGAAGACGCACCTCTACGGCCAGATTGGGCAACCTCAGGCAGACCATGGACTTGCAGTCTCGTCTTGATGACATCCAGAGGACAAACAAATGTAGCAGCTATAGCACCTATCCAAAATCCACCAAATTACGGTAACATTTTCACTAAACCTTTTGACTGAAACCCTAGCTAGAAGCCAAAGACAAGAGTTGCAAAATCAGATAAATCAAGACATTTCAAAGAAATTGGAGGGGAAGGAACTAAACAGTAAACTAACCAGCCGAGGCACCCGCACTAGCGTCGCATAAGATTTGCCTTGCGCTCGGGCGGTCTCCCGCAGCCGCCGCCATGTGAAAGATCGATAGTGTTTCTTGCGAACAATAAATCAAGCGATAATTGATTGGGTTCCGATTGAAAATTTAACCAAGTCGAATAAAATCAAACGCTAGGACTGGAAGGAGGGATGATTTGTCTCAGTTATCTTAAGAACTTTGGCAATTTCTAGGCGGCTCTAACCAGATTCCCTGCTTAAAAGTTTCAACTCATACAACTCTTTTGTCCGATGCCTTGCATCTCGCAAAACACAAGGGCGCAATCATCTTTTTTTCTTGACACAAAATTTGTATCCTATTTTTAGACCAATATTTTAATGGTTCATACTGACACAAAGTGTTGATACATTAACAAAAATTTACACTGACACAAAGTGTTGGTACATTAACAAAAATTAGCATTACACCAATACAAAATATTAGTGCATCCCTGTGATATATAAAATGGGGTACAAATACTTGTGGTACAAATAGCTTTATCTTTTCTTCTTTTGTTCAAAACAACTCCAATGTTAGTTCTATTTTTTTCCCCGACTTCTTTATTTATTTTTAATTATTATTCATTTTTTATATTACTAAAAATACACACTCTTTCTAAGAAATAAAATACATTAATTAAAATAAAAATTTAAAAAATAATTTATTTCTATAATTAACTATTGTTCTGTCTACAAATGTATTCGATTAAATCATCTTAAAGGGCAGCATGACTTCATTCATCGTGCATGGTAGCACGTCGATTTACAAATTCTTCTAATTTTGGAGATGGCCTTTGAGTTGTTGGACCTCGGGCGACGGTTACCCTAGAAGCAGATGTGTCTCCGTCATCTACAAAATGAGTAATGTCCCTCGTCCACCCATTGTGATGAAAGGACTCCGAACGCACACTCCACATATTTCTATTCTGGATCTTGTTTTTGTGCGAACAATGCTTTCTTTGGATTTGTTGGACACGTGATAGTTTTCACAAACAGTGGCCACTGTGAATAAATCTCATCCACCAAATAAAATCACATGTTATATTAGCGACTATTGGTAGTGAATTGCACAACTGGCGCATACATCATTGAATTAAGGACCTAATTCTTTTGGGTATGGTTTCGGTGGAACTGGAAAAACATTTCCTTGAAAATCATTGTCTGCTTCTCTGAGGTCAAATGGTAGGATTGTCTTAAATGTCGCATCAAATGTGATTGCAGCATTGCTTTTACATGGGGGGGAAGCACATTCAAGATTCTCAATTCCTCTGGCGATAATTGAGTGCTCAACATGTGCCATCAGACAATGGAGCCCGAAAGCAAAACAATTTCAACAAGCAAGTCTAATCATATGAGATGAAGCGTGTATGATAAATATATTTATTTTTGAGGCATTGGATTGTACAATGAGAGATGTAATGATGTTCTCTATTCAAAACTCCATAAATGAACCATTCGGATGGAAAACGGTTGTACTCGAAGGTAATTTTCAACAAATTCTTCACGTTTTATCTAGAGCTTCGAGAGAGGAAATTGTAGGTGCTATCATTAATTTTTCAAAATTGTGGTCGTATTGTAAAGTTTATACATTGACGAAGAATATGAGATTGCATTCATCTACATCATGTTGTGTAGATAGAAACACAAGCTTTTTTATTGGATAATAAAAATTGAAGATGGAAAGCTTGCACAAGTGATTGATGGAACAGCTGACGTTGAAATTTCGCCTAAATTCTTGATTCTAGACATGAGTTCCTCCTCAAGAATATAGTGAAGTTTACTTATCCGAACCGATTGGAGAATAAGAAAAGTTATACTTTTTTTTGAGGACAAGCCACTACTGGCACCCACGCTCGAAGTTGTATAAATGGAAAATGAATTTGTCATCTCACTCATTCCCCGAAAATGAAATGATGTGCTTGAGTTCTGATTATTCATGTCAGGCAGATCCAAATGTAGGTGCTGATGGCGATTAGATAACAGTTGAGTTTTTGAATGAAATCAAATGATCGGGGATCCCAAACCACAAGTAGTTTAAAAATGGGGGTATCAATTATGTTTTTAAGAAACATTGACCAAATATCTAGACTGTGTAACCGTACAAGATTAGTTGTTGACAAGCTGTGAAAGAACATTATCAGTGTTATTGTGGTTTTGAGAAATTGAGTGGGGGAAAAGGTTTACATATCCCGGATTAATTTGGTACCATCTGATACATGCTATCCTTGAAGTTCGAGAGAAGACAATTTCCAATAGCCTTATGTTTTTCTATGAGTATCAACAAAAGTTAAGGTCAAATATTGTCATTTGTTGGATTATTTTTAACCAAGTCGGTGTTCAATCATGGTCAGCTTTATGTTGTTGTTTCGCGAGTGAAGACAAAGACATGATTAAAAATATTAGTCCTAGATGACAATGGAAACCCTTGCAACCATACTAAAAATGCTGCATACACTGAAGTCTTTCAGAAAATTTAGAATTAATATTTTTTGTGGTGTACACATTCAATTCTTGGAGTGAGCATATTATCCGAACCGTCCGTCCATGCTTAAAAACCGAACCGCCCAAAATTTTGCAGTTTCGGTTTCGGTATGTAAGGCTCAAAAAATTCGGTCAGTTCGGTTAATTGATTCGGTTTTCGAGTTGAATCTTAAATTAGTAAACTCGACCGAAAAACCGAATAAATCACCCAAGAATCCAAATGCCCATTTGGATTCACTTATTAATCCAATCTGAATAAATCCAATTAATCACCCAAGACCAAGGCCCAAAAGTACTTAGAGAAGTACCGATGAACCCTATATCATTCTTGATCTTCTGATTCCTCGGTCATCGCCATCTTTCACTCATTGTCGTCATCTCCTATCTCATCACTGCAAATAGCAGCCACTGATGTCACGAACTGGACGGAGGCAGTAGAGGACCTCGTCACTAGCCACGAACTCGAGAAAGCCATTGCTCTACGGCCTCTACTCGCGAAGGCGACTAACGCTAATCTTTTAATGAATTTGGGATTATTTGAATGAATTTCTCCATTAAAAGAATATCAAAGTGGCGAGCTTTACTTTATTTCTAGGTGAGTTTTGGTATTCAAAGTGGCGAGCTTTACTTTATTTCTAGGTGAGCTTTGCATTATCCATTGGTGAGCTTTGTAGTATAGTGTGGTGAGCATTGCGTCATCTCACCGAAGCATGTCATCTCACCATAATGTGTCATCTCACTAGAGTCAATCCCCCCCCACACACCACACACACACATATATGTATGTATGTATGTATGTATGTATATACGGCCCGGTTCTAGTGACACCGGAGAACGGTGCCACCAGCGGTGCCACTGGGTTTTTGGGGCACCTCCGGTGCTCCGTTCGTAAAATTGACGGTTCCTACTCCCCCTAACCCACCCCCTAAACCTCCCACCATACCCCCACCCCTGCACCCC